TCAAAAAAAGAATAAAGGAAAAATTATAACACTCTCCTTCTTAAGATAGTCTATATCCATCAGCTTCCTGCTCTTAGTGTATATAACACTTGTGCCTGTCTTCTAAGGTGCCATATGTCAGAGATAAAGAAGTGCCAGATTTAGCAGTATTGACATTTCTGCTGGGCTTGTTATTTATAGAATGGTTTGATTTGTAATTGCTCTAGAGACTTGTGTTTGCTGCCTTCTGTCACTGCCACTCTTTGTTTATTTCTATAATACAATCCTTTTATGCATTATATCCCTTCAGAATATTCATACTGATATCAGAGATCATCTTAGTATAGAAGGGTGGTACTCTGATCTTTAGTATTTTAACCATTCTTTCATCATCATTAGTGTTGTCTCATACTCCAGCTAGAGTTCTGAGTTGTTTCAACTCATTGAAGTACTTGCTCACCATCTTATCTTCCATCCTTAGTTTCTTCATCTTGTTTTTATATATCTCTTGAATCACCAGATCCATAAACTTGTCATAGACCATCTGTTTGAACACCAGCCAGGATGGCAATCAGTGATACTGCCTGGTTGTTGAATAGAAGGTTGGAGAGATTAAGATCTACTATGTTTTTGCTTTGTCCTCAAAATATGAGGCAGCAAAAGCTACTCAATATATGTTAATAGAGAGTTACTTTGAGTACACTTTGAAGAACTATTCACAGTCAATCAGAAAGCAGTCAATATTATTGAATATGCTCTTAAAAGGTCAGAGTTTGCAGATGAGATCAAGTTTATACTGGATAAGAGTGGCATCATAAGAGGGTGCTTCCATCAGATTCGAATACTAATTAAAGAGTGATCACTTCCATTCTGCTGAAAGTCTGAGAAAAGAGTGAAAGGAGTTGTTGTCAGCAATCAGACTTCCAGTTGGTTCCATCTTTTTGCATATAATGCATCTGTTTTAGACTGTGAATCTGAGTTTTACAGCTTCTATATCATCTCCTTTAAAGATCTTACTACTCATACTTGCTTTATCTGATGGTGGCTGACCATCTAGGAGTCAGCTCTCTGAGCTGGTCTAAGAGTTTCAGAATATAATAGATCAGCTGATAGATTTGAGTCATGGCCATACAAGCTGACTGGTGGCACTTTGAGTGGAGAGTGTCAAATAGATATATCAGATTCTGGTGGTTCAGATAGATGATGCCATGTAGATAGCATGTTTTAAGGTGACCAGAGGGGTGTTCAGCATTGGCTGGACTTTAAAGCATGATTGAGATGATAGTAGTTCAGTCAATATGTCTTCAGGATATGTTCTGTTATATAAAGAAATAATCTATTCAATGGCCATATACTGTAAAATGTCTCTTCATTCTAAATCATCTGAAATTATATACTCTCTTTCTATTGCCAAATCTCTCCAGGCTTTATTATATAAGAGGAAGATGTCCTCCTCCTGATAAAGCCTCATAAATTCTTTCTCTTTCTCTCATTGTATCTCTTTCTGTAGTAGTCCTTTATCCTCTGATTCTGATGCATAAAACTTTTTCAACCAGTCAAAGAGAGAGTGGGACTTCTCATCCTTCTCATCCTCACTGTCCTCCTTGCTGTCCTTGACAGAGGAGTCATTAAGCAGATCATAGATAGATAGAGTGTGGAGCTTCAGCATTGCTGGTAAGCTGCCTTTCTTCTCTGGATTCAAATCCTGTACTTGGTTTGGTCTCAGAAGAAGGCTGTAGTCAAAGTCAGTAGATTTGAACTTCAGAACTTCTCTTGCTGCTGCTGCTCTCATCATTGTTTTTTGCTTTCTCTAGTTTCTAGCAATATTAGCAGAACTGGTCATAAAAAAAAGAGTTGAGGAAGAGGGTAGCAAGATTACTTTATAGAAACTGTTGAAGAGATTACTTGCTGATTTCAACAGTTAATCTGAGTCTATCAGAGAACTTGTTAGAATCAAAGAAAATGATATGATTGATTGATGGAGGAGTCTGAGGTTTATTGTCTAGCTTCTTTGGCCATAACAGCTTCAGCTGGTTCAGCCCAGAGGTCAGACTTGCTGAGTTCTCTAAAAGGAGACCAGGAGAGAAAGTCAGAGTTAGAGGAATCTGCATAAAGTCTATTCTATCTAGGGTCATTGGAGTCTCAGTAACTGGCTTTCTGCTTATGCTGCTACCTTCTAAACTCAGCATCATATCAGGCAGTCTTATATTCTTTGAATTGTCAGGCATGTTCTTCCTCTGCTTGTCTTTCTTATTTTTTATAGATAACATAGGAATAATCTTCTGATTTGATGTGCTCAACATCTTGCTGAGTGTTGATTTCAAAGCTGGTGAGGTAGAGATTGCTAGAGATTGATGAGAGCAGGCTAGAGGTCTGGAGAACTGAGCTTCCAGTTGGAGTTGCATAGAGCAAGTTGTGTTCAGAGCCTGTAGCCATCCAAGAGGCATCAAGAGAGTCTCTAGCTTGTTCACTGATTCTAAATTCTATTGTGGCAGTGAAAGAGTCAAGAGACAAAACCTTATTGAAGAAGTTTAAGAGAAGATCCTCATCTTTATGATCTGAGTCCAGAGAGAGATTCATCAGATATCTAATATTGCTGTTTCTGAGAGGGTTTCAAGAGGGTCTAGAAGGTTGAGAGAGAGTGTCAATGTTCTTTCTCTATTGAAAGAACTTCTGAAGTCGAGTTGCCAGATTGGGTTTCTAATACAGCTTCTGCTATAGGCTGACAGGAATTTCTGATAATGTTTGAGATATTATGGAAGAAAAGATCTGGTGTGACATTTTGGAGAATCTATTAGATGGTTCTGAAAGTATGATAGTGCTGGACTACCTATGCTACTATAGACTGACATTCTTGACAAAGATAGACAATAGCAAAAAGCCCTAGTAAGGTTTCTATCACAGAGGCTAAAAGCCTAAAAAAGTTATTGGTGATGTCAGGGATTGATATAGATAGTATTCAGTTTTCTTTGCTGCTGATGCATGTAAAGAAAGAGAAGCAGGAAGCTTCAAGCTAATTGTTAAGCCTAAGTGACATATGATCTAAACACATAATAAATAGATGCTGTATTGAGTTCATACAGTCACACCCAAGTTCACTGTATATGCTTATATGGTGTTATATCTCAAGGCCAATTACAAGTTGGCTTGAAATAAAATAATGAAAATAAACTTTAGCTCAAAGCTGGAGATATACAGCAAAAGCTATACTACTTATATACTGTTCAGAGTCAAGTTAAATATATACCTACTTATTATGTGTTTCTATGCTATGGTGACTACTGTTCTTGCTTATCACTACTAACACAAAAAGGTATTGTCACACTATTGAGAGAGTCAGTGGATAATAGACTGAGTCTGCCTTTTGTGGTTGCATAATCTGGTTCCATGGTTCTAGGTACTTGATTTAGATGCTCTGACTAAGTGAAAATAGAGGTTAACAAAGTGAAATAAGAGTTAAATAAGAAAAAAATTGTAATACAACAGCAAAGTGGATAGAAAATAGTAAGCAAGAAGTGAAATGGATATAAAATTATGACATCAGAAAGAACTGCTACTCTAGTCTGTGCAAGAGCTCAGTACAAACTATATTGATTTCTCAGACAGACTACTTTGACTACAGGTTCTGGCAGCCATATTGGATGAGCAGAGAGAAGGCATGATATTATGACAGTTGTCATGCATATAGCTTCTAGCTTAGATCAGTTCTCTGACCAAAGCAAAGTCTTGAAAAACTCCAGAGCTCCAGCAGAGCTCTGGAGGAACCTCTGAGAGCAGGGCTCTTCAATAGTTTTTTCCAAAATTTTATTGTAATCAGTAAAGAAAGAATGATCAAACTAACAACCATTTTATGACTCACATATCACATTTTTGCAAATGTCTTAGACTCTCAAACTGAGCATTGAGATTGTGAGGAGAATTTGTATAGAAGCTTTATGTCTCCTGAATATTAAATCCTGATAAGATGCTATAGTGGTGTTCTAAAAACTCATCCTGTAGAAAAGAGAAGAACAAATGTTGAATGCAGTGACACCTCCAATGCTTGTTTGACTATTCTTGGAAACTTGTGATGTTATAAGACAAAATGGGATTTCCATTTATTGCAGCTTGACTTTGCCTTTTAAGCCTGCCACTTTGATTTGGAATTTGACTTTACTACCAGAATGTGTCAACAGCATTTCTACAAAGAGAAGAGATGTACCAACATGTGCCATATGAAAATGATTTGCATTTTTATCTCTGGAATGTCTCCAAAACTATGAACATTATTTTGAACCAATGTCAAAGATAAGGACTTTGAACCTGCCATATTACCTGGCCAGATCTACTTTTGTTGGGTACACCACTGTGCTGTACAGAAGCACTCCTATGCAATGCATGGATGCAGAGCTGAATGCACTAAAGAAGGTAGCCCTGAACACTATTCCTGTTTTGTGGGATAATCACTGATACTCAGTGAGGACCAGGTCCTATGGTGAGATCAATCAAACCCTTGAGTCAAAAATTTTCTACATCATATCCATCACATTCACCCAATCCACAGAAGCTGATTCTGAATAAACTCAGCCTATCTATCTCAACATGTTTTCCATAAAAGACATTCTGGTCTCTATCTCAAAGGAACAACCTGGCCTCTTCAGATCAGCCTCTAGTGAAGGACAATGCTCCCATAGGGAAACCTACACCCACTGTAGCTTCACTGCCTGCCAACCTAACTACAATGACTTCTCTAACCCTTTTGATGCCATCAGCATCCCAACCAATGGAGTCTGATGGCCCAGCACGATATTTGGTGCCTAAAGTGACCTCCTTACAGACCCCTTATCCTTGGGCAACATTTACTTTAATTTATCCATGCTGATTTGCTGAAACATGCTCAGATGTGTTAATTTAACAGTGCAGTTCAAATATATCTATCACAAGTACATCAATTAGATAGCAAATCTTCGATAGCAGGTAGAAAGCAAGTGCACATAAATCCCATTTAACCTCATTGCATCCTTGCATACTGCACCATTTTGCTCTAGCTCTTTTGTTGGAAGTCATCTGCTTTTAATGCCTTCTCAACCATGTTCTTCAGGGTAGTATCACCATACCGACGCAGACGTAAAAGGACCGTCACAAAATGGTAAGCCTCCATGGGCGAGAAGATGTTGAATGTCCACACATTGCGTTTAACGGTATGGATGGTGTCTAGTAGACAGGTATCGCCAAGAAGCGAGAACGTGGGCATCAAGGGGAACGTAGGATGACTGGGCTGACATCGGATTCGTTGAAGCCTCCATGCATTCATAGCTTGTGCCACCATCGGAGGATGATGAGTCGTCGTAGGAAGTTTCAGACTTGTATTCTTCCTGCTATTGTTCATTTGATCGTTCTGCAGTCCCGATGGACGGGTGCTCCGAACCTTTGTTCTCCACTACAGGCCTTGGCCGTTGAATATCTTCAACGATGTGAGATATCAGCAATGAAGCATGTCTGTCCTCCAGGAAACTTCGCACGTGCGATAACCGTGGTCGGACGAAAGCTACATCTTCCCTACACCCCATTTTCATCAGCATGCACATTTAGCATTACATTGATCACACTTACATTGCATATGACTTATCATAACAGACAAATGCCAGAGACCGTATCAGAAGTGACCAAAACGCTATTGTTGACTGCGTAGCATTGTCCGTCGACGCGCACGACAGAGCTCGGGGTGCACCAACGGTCGAAAGCACCAAATCCAAAATATCCAGTACTTCCGAGGGTGGCTCGGTGAGCTGTTCTGGTGAGGATACCAGAATTTTACGAGCTCCTCGAGCAAAGGAGATGCTCTAGAAGAGACAGCTGGGGATGGGCCATTGGAAAGTCATGAGGGAAGTGGAGAGTCAAGTAAGCACACCAGGTGTTGTATCTCAGTGGGCCATTCTGCCGCACACGAGATTACAGAGTTGAATGCAGACATGTCGGTGCTTTCTGTATGCGTATCATTGCTGTAGAGCCGTCAAGAGGAAGACAGTGGTCGTAAGTGGCAATGGTCCAAGTTCAACGCATTCGGGACGCTGACCAAACATAAATATTTATTCAAATTTATTTATTATGCTCTCGGTCGTCGGGATCCTTCTTTCTTATGAGCCTTGTCCTGTATACTGATTCATTGTCCAAAACGCAATAGCAGTGTCTAGATAGTAGCAAACATACACACTTAACTCCGGTATCCTCTGGAGACTCTCAACCACCTGCCCCTTTTAACTTGTTCAAAGTACACAGCGTTCTTGATCATCAATTCCTCTTTCCAGAACGGCCACTCGGATTTCTCTCCTTCTTCTGTCTGCAACTCTTCTGGGGGTACGTTGAACACGAGGTCAACCTTGCTCAATTCCATCTTCGATAGAATTCTATCGAGCTCTGCCCACTTGTCCGGACTCCCAGATGTGCCAAACAGGTAGTACTCGAATTCGAGCTCCTTTAAGCACCCGCCTTGGGCTTTGTGTAGCAGGTGTACGAGCCAATCTGTTAGCCTGTCGCATTCTTTGCATGCATCCGCCGGATCCCAGCGCCAGGGGGGGTACACAAGCAAACGAAGCCTGGTAATGTTTTGGATATCCGGAACGGGTATCCTTGGCTCGGAGGATGCCACTAGAAATAACTCATCCAGGTGCATATAAGGAATCACGTCATATTGTGGGATGTTCTCCTTCAGAATGTAAAGTGGATAGGTAAGCCGTCGAATACGAGGTGGCATGGGGAGGAGCGGGAGGAGGCACATGATGGTATTCATGTCCGGGAACTTCCTGCCATGGATAATCGCTAATTCTTCAAGGTCAAGAGAAACTTCAGACGATGAGGATGTCTTTGTAGCAATTTTTACGTCGCGTAGCATTAGCTTCTTTAATTTGTGGAACCCGCCAAGAAAGGTGCCAAGATTCGTCACAGAACAGTCTTTCATTTCCAATTCCTCGACTTCAGGCCAGATGATATTAACGCCGACCAGTTCCACCATGACAAGATGCAAGGACGTCAAGTTCTTCATCATTCTAAAGGCCATAGGCAGCTGCAGTTCGGGGGGGATCCTTGTACAAGAGGGGCCTATGTAGCGGAGAGGTCTTCCACTCAAGGTAAGACTCCTTACAAGTGGTGCCACATTGCAGCACTTCTCCAAGAAAATTTTGCAGCGATCAAATAGCCAAATTATGATGAAAGGGAAGTGTATGGCGCGGAATAGTTGATAGCGGCTGCGGTGGACGAGTTGGCGAGAGGACAATGCGCAAGTTCTGAGAGAGTGGACGTCATCGGAAAGAGCGTCAACTATTTGATCCATGAGTTCTGGCGGTAATCTAGGTGTCGAAACTGCAGGTTGTAGGGTAGGTTGTGAGGTACTCATGGTGATCATGGGCAAAGTTCAGGACTGGGGCTTTGAGGTCCCTCTCCTTATAAATACCGTCACCGAGACTTTTATTTCCTAATTTACTTATGAGACAAAAGTTTCGTGTGGTAAAGTGCGCTCCAGACATCTGAATTTGACATTTGATTGATCAAAATACACAAGATTCATGTCCACTCTGGTATACATCGCTAATATTAGTAGCACACTTCACATCTTCTATCGAACCTCACAAAGAAAGGCCATTTTATCTGTCTCATGGCCACGTTTGCTTCGTCTGTGGCAAGTGTGAATCTTTTGGAAAATTTCTCCGGCGATTTGCCGTTCCCGTCGAACCAAACGAACAGCTTCTCCCTGAATCGGATATATATGCGTTGAAGACGGACCCAGCTTGGCATCATCCTAGGCAGTGGGCGATTGCTTTGGTCATTTACACGGAGCAATCTGTGAGGCTTTACACCTCTCGTAACGGTAAAAGCTATCGACTTTCCAACGTCGAGTATGACCGACTGATGCAGCACGGCTTCAATCAGCTGGCCTTATGGTTGAGACAAAGTTCGAAGCCAAGAATGTGGAGCATCCATAATAACGCAGGGTCTTTCTGTCCCAGAGGAAACAGGGATAATGTGGCTGCCCTTGGTGGTTAGCGAGGTGCCTTCTCGGAGTGAGAGGGGACCAATCGCTTGTCTTAAAGCTGCACACAGCGATGTAAATATGGATTCCTTGACGACACAGATCTGACCAGGCTTGTAGATTGGGAGTCCTTTCCGTGGCCTAACTGACGGAGGCGTCATGATACTGCGCGGCCTGGCGGGTTTGGTGGGATCGTAGTCCTCGGAGAGTACATAATAGCGTGACGTCGACATTGGAAAATAAAGAGAGATGCAAATGTGGCACCAGGCCTACCAGTTGCTGCAAATGAATGTAAGGTGATGCGTGATCGTGAAGATCGGGAGAGAAAGCAAGGAGAAAGCAGAAGAGGTAGAAGACCTATCAATGGCTACCCTCATTTTATATGAGGAACACTGTTGCTACGGTTTTATTATCTAGACAAGTAAAGAAGATATTCTTTGTTCTTGCCCAGGCCAAGCTGATCGGTATGTGATGATCCTCCCACGCCTTTCTCCTTGTTATTTTTGTTGCCACCCAGGGCTCGAAGGTATAAATAATATGCTCGATTTGTCTCTTCGCCTCCATTTCGCCCTCTGTGCTCTCTGCCATGGCTACCCCCCGGTTTCAAGATTTTCCACCTTGGTTCTCTTATATCACCTTTTCCTTCGACGTAGCGGCAACTCTGGATTTATACTGTGATGGGGGTGAGGAGGCCATGTTACAAAAATTGGATGGTCTTGAGGATAGGAAATATGCTGGTTACTGCTTGGAGGTGCATTCTCCTACCGCTTACTCAAGTTTTAAGCTTACTTACTGAAAAACACTTAGGTCGAAGTTCCACGTGAACCCACATACCAGGTTATTAGCATTAGGCCATCGCAACAGGGTCTCACCAAGCCTCATTCTCGGAAACCCCAGTATGCAAGGCCTCTGATGTGTGTCCCCATGTTGTCGGCAACAGCCCATCCTAGGTGCAGGGAACCTCTCGACGTGACGATGCCATTGCCATGGGATAACTGCTATCATCCTACCTGCTACGACGTTTGCGTTCGTGTACCGACGGAAAGGCGGGACTATTGTCAGTCATGGTATGTGAAAGGGCACTTTTCTCGCGAGCTTCGTATAGCCTTCGACGAGGATGATCGCTACGAACAACTTCTTCGGGTTGGACTAGACGATGATCAGATCCTTCGAGTTCTCGACGGTCAAGAGGATCCCCTAGCTACAGATGTGCCGGACGAAGCTTCGGAGACTGATAGTTTAGCTAGCCCGATGTTACTGGCCAAGGTACCAAGCTCCGATAAGCTTGAATATGAACCGTGCTTCGTGCCCGTTATGCGTATCGACCACATCCTATCGAACGTCCCAGAAATAGCTGATCCATCGCAGCTATGTGGAGATCTGGATCTTTTTCAAGAGTAAGCAATCCTCTCTAATTGTTGCGTATTTTCTCCTGAATTGTTCTTTTTCTTTTCAGAATCGTGCACGAGTATCAGCTTGCCCGCTGCGGATCGGTCCTTTTCGACCCGCTAGAGGATCCACCGATTGACGACACGCCTGTCCATGACAACGTCTCATCGGTTTATACTGTATATACTGTAGGGTCGGCGGAATCTCGCGCGAGCTCGACGGAAGATTTGAGCTCTGATTCTCCGGACTCTCACGAACTGCACTCATTGTCAGAGCAGTCTCCCCAGGTGCCGGTGCCGGTGCCTACTCGGAAAGGTAAGTATCTAAGTGTCTCGACCGCGGCCTCATTGAATTTTGCTTCTAGGTAAATTGAGAGTTAGGTCGTTCCTCCAAAAGGCGATCACGAATTTTGTCGAGGTCTTCAAGCGGCCCAGAGGACCCAAAATCTACGTACGCATCCTAGTCGCCAGATCTGGCCACGACGGTCTTTCTTTAGTCTCATGCTACTGGATGAATAACGGCTGTTCTTTCGGTTGATCCCGCTGTACTGATGACAATTCGTAGACATCGTAAGCTAATGGTTGGCGCTGAGGTATCTGGATCTCGTTGGTGATAGATGATTTGAAAAAAAAAAGGTTTTTAGCTGATGGCGCTTATTCGACCAACCTTGCCAGACGTGTTGGCCCCCGGGCCTTTGCAGCGATAAATTGGCAACCACGCCATGACCGGCCCTCGGCACTTCCCTCATCTTATCATTATATCGCGAGCCGCCGTATCGAAATCATGGTCTGTGATACCCATTTTTCTTAGTCACTAGTGGTCTCGAAAAAACATATCCAACGATGACACGTTCATTTGCGTCGAGAATCGCCCTGAAAAGCTGCTGTTGATCAATAGGACATTCCTGTCTCTGCTGTACAAACTGTGACTACGAAAGTAATATTACACGTAGTGTCTCCGTTTTTAGTTGTTGTCGTGAGAAATCGAACATGTAAACGTACCAGTAAATCAGAGTCCCATTGTATGCGCTGATGTTGGAGACTGGCCAATGGTCGGGGACATAAACGTGGTTTGCTCTTACCCTCAGTTTTGTCTTTGCTGCATACCGACATCTCAGTAGAACTGGATTTCGCGGGTTGCGATCTTAGACGTAGGAAAATTAATGCTAGGAACTACTTTCGTGACTGTATGTATCCCTGGATGACTATATGCGCCTGGTTTCGCTCTTCTTTGTCTAAGGCTACATCATTCGTCGGATATTTTTTATGTGCGGTGTCGAAGCAACAATAGCGACCATGGGGCCTATCTTCCTGTCCAATTTTAACGGATACTAGAAGAAGACATGCCACTCCAAGTGAAGTTCGGACGCTTGATGGCAATCTTGATACTAGCTGACTCCTCATGCCAGCGCTCGAGCGTACTCAGGGGGCTGCGTTTTAAACATCATCGGCACTATTCATGGCAGCCGACACTTAATTTCTCTAGTACGATGCATGTGAATTTTCCCAATGTTTTTGTCTTTGCTTATACGATGCAGACATCATCAAAAACTGATCAGTATTCGAGAATAACATGAACATTGGCTGATTTTGTGCTTGCTGGAAAATATTCTGCTAAACCTCTGAGAAGTCGAGAGAGGCACCGCTAAATCGGTAGGTGTAGCTTCATCGCGGTTTATGCATCGTTACTCATTATCAAGCTAAAATACATTGGAGTTCCTCTCGCTGGGTCCATCGGGTTTACGGCTTATTCTATCGTGAGGGAGGAGGCTAAAAATATGGAGAGAGAACCGGTGAAGGTGTGAGGTAACTTTCTGCTTTTGCTCTCCAAAATGAGATGCTGACCTGTTTGTCGGTGCAGGTTGTAGAAGCAGAGATTTATTAGTGAATCAAGGCACCGATTAAGCGTCGCGATCATCCTCTTTAGATTGGGCTGTTCGCAAAAGCCTACAATATATGATTTTCGATAATATCCACCTCTAGCATATCGTTCTCCTCCAAGAGTGGCAGCTTCCCCTTCACCCACTCTCTAGAGTACGGTCCTCTCCATGGACTGAAGTCTGTAGGGTGCAGTCTGAATGCAACCTTCAAAAGACGAAACGATGACATTTCTGGACGTGCGAGAGCTTGGTCAAGGCTGGACCATTGCGCTGCCCAGTCTTCGTCTTCCCAGTTCTCGTGTTCTCCCTCATGGTTATATGGGGGTATGATTGTCAGTGTCAGCGTCTCCAGTCTGACGGGATCTGTCGCGCCAGAGATAGAATGTACCAACCACCTCATGACCCTGATATGCCAATCGCAGTACAGATCACATTTCATCTCGACATGGAGAGTTGACATAGTCAGAGGGAGCGTCGGGTGAGCTGGCCACCTTGACCACGAACCGGGCGTATAAGCTTCAGCTCGGTCAACAGGCATTGGCTGTATCGAACAGTACGGCTCACCTCCGTAACGGAAACGAATGTCAAAGCCCTTCCAAGAGCTTGGTGCCGCACGGATGAAGGTGCATATGGATGGAAGATATTCAGCCGAGGGATAGTAAATGCGGAGCTCACGGAGAGAGTCGACATAGGTTGATCGTAGGTCTCCCCGGTGAAAGAGTGATTCGACGATAGATTCATTGAAGAATGTCCCATATAACGATATCCTCTTGATCGTCGGAAATTCGAAAGACTCGGAACTCAGGTCTTCCGATATGCTGTGACAGCTAAAAAACACGTTTTTCAAATCGAGATCTGTCAGTCCGGGCAGATGGGAGATAAGGGAGTGGAGGTGCGATGGGTCTTGAAAAAAGATGAGTATAAGAGAAAGGGAGGCTAGGTTTGGTAGAGAGGAAAGGAATGAGGTAATGGAAGATACTGGTAGGTCTTGCACATCATGGGCGACGCTTTGGAGCTTTACTTCCTTTATGTATTCGACAACCCTCCCCCAAGTTCGGCATGATACACCGGTCCAGAGTAGAGGGGATTTTGCCACTCAATATCAGTGTTCGGACATTGTTATGGATGAAGACGGGAAAGAGGTGTGCACCAAGCGGTGCAGATGATTGGACAATATCTTCCGGACGTGAAAAGTACGTCCTCCAATGCACTCGCCTCCTTCACGCAGGCGTAAAAAATCTGGATTTGCG